TTCTGAGACTATCACTAGTTTTGCTAGTACAAGTACTACTGCTAGCACTAGTGCTACTGTTCCTATCACAACCACTCCTTTCCCAGCAAGTACTCTTGATGTTATAACTAGTGCTACTGTTCCTGATACAACTACTCCTTCGTCTACAAGTACTATATCCAGCACTAGTGCTACTGTTCCTATCACAACCACTCCTTTCCCAACAAGTACTACTGATGTTACAACCAGTACTGCTGTTCCTGATACAACTACTCCTTCGCCTGCAAGTACTACATCCAGCACTAGTGCTACTGTTCCTATCACAACTACTCCTTTCCCAGCAAGTACTATTGATGTTATAACCAGTACTGCTGTTCCTGATACAACTACTTCTTCCTCTACAAGTACTAATACTTCTAGCACTAGTGCTACTGTTTATACCACAGCCATATTCTCTCCTGCTGCTGATGCTAACACTAGTACTACTACTCTTAATACAACTATGCCTTCCCCTACAAGTATTACTACTGCTAGAACTATTTCAATCACTCCTTTTCTGACAAGTATTGCTGATGTTAGCATTCGTACTACTGCTCTTATTACCCCTACTCCTTCCCTAACAAACACTACTGATGTTAGTACTAGTACTACTATTTCTAATATAACTACTCCTTTTCCAACAAATAATACTAATGTCAACACTAGTACTAATGTTTCTTTTATAACCACTTCCTCTCATGTAAGTACTGATGATACTAGCACTAATACTGTTCCAATTACAACTGTTCCTTCTCTTACAAGTACTGATGCTGATACTACTAGCAGTAGTTTTTCTATTGTGACTACTTCTTTATCTGAAATTACTAATGCTATGGATACTACTGTTATTATGGTAACAACTACACCTACAAATACTGTTGTTGCTAGCACTAGTAATGATGCTTCTGTTACAAATCCTCTTTCACCTACAATGTCTGGTGGTGACAGCACTAATAATAGTATTTCTATAATGACCACTTCCTCTGCAAATACTCTTGCTACTAACACTAATAATACTCTGTCTGTTGTGACTAATACTCTTTCTACAAGTATGAGTACTGCTAGCCCTGGTAATATCATTCCTGTTGTGACTACTCCTTCTCCAAGTGCTGATGCTATTGGCACAAGTAATACTATTCCTGTCATGACTACTTATTACCAAACTCCTCCCACCACTCCTACTCCTACCCTTACTTCTACTCCTAATTCTACTACTCCTATTTTGAGCATATTTCCAACAAATAATACCTTCACTACTTATATAATTACTAATTTTACTACTCTTACTAATGCGAACACCACTAATTTCAACACCCTTGATACAAAAAGTACCACAATAATAGATGCTATTGTTGCTACTACCAGCACCAAAGATAATGCCACTAGTCTAGATACAGTAGTTACTTCAACAGACAAATTCACTGCACATACCGAACCTGCTGCAACAGATTTTATAAGCACTTTATCACCAGAAGGATCAACTACTACAACCCTTAGAACTACTAATACTGCAATGTTAACTTCTATAAATCTGGGCCATGGAACCTCTCCTATCATAGCAAATTCAACAAGAAACCTCACTACAGACAGTACAGCTACTAATACTCTTAGTTCCACAGATACTACCTTTCCTGTAGCAACTGCTACAGATACACTACTATCTACTACACAAAACTTTACTACCTTTTCCCTTACCACTGCAGATGTTAAAAATGCTACCACACACACCACACGGTTCTCTACTCCTCATTCTGCTACTAGTACCATACCAGCCTTAAGCCACACGACATTAATTCCTACAAATTTTTCTACTCTGAGAGCCATTGACACTACTACTACAAGCACTACATCGACTATTATGGATGCAATCACTACAAATATTATAAACATTACCACTGCAGGGAATGAAAATGCAGTGACAGGAGTCACCACAAGTACTGTGATTACAAAGATTACAAATGCTACTTCTATAGAAACTATCACTCAAGTCATTTCAACTCCATCTCCTATAGACACCCCTGTTGATGCCACCACAGATAATATATCTCCAACTGCCCTTACCAGAAACATCACCACAGCTTACCCTTCAGATGCCCCTACCAATGCTTTAAATACCACCTCCACAGGCACTGAAGATACCATTACACCAAATACCAACAGTACAAATATTACCAGTATGATACCAGGTGTTAGCGGTATTACGGGTACTCCTACTAAGGACAGCCCAACTACTGTTAGTGTTAGTATCACAACTACAGATGTGAATGCTTCCTCTACTACTCCAGACACAATAATTGCTAGTACACAAGACTTTTCCACGTCTTCACATACAGACACTACAGATACTACATCTACTACTGGAGCTACTAGAAATACCATTACAGCATATACTACCACAATAGCTACACCTATTTTCAACACAGAAACTACAACTTCAGTTATTACTTCTGATGCAGTCCTTACAAACACTTACATTCCAAGTACCACAGCTATTCCCACCACCAATACTATAAACATTACAGGACATGCAGTAAATACTACTGATGCAGATAACTCCAGCAGCGTTACGGGTAACGCCACACACATTTCTATTCCCAATATCACAACAGCTTCAGACATGATAACAACAGCTGGTCTACATACAGAAACTCACTATCTGGTAACAGCAAATTCTTTGGATAATGATTTACCTATTACTGCAACCGGTGCTACCACAGATATTACAAATAGTACCACACATGCTTTAAATACTACCACTCCTGATGGAATGACCATGGGTACTTCTGCTACTGTATCTACTTCTAGTGCTCTAAATTCTACTCTAGTTCCATGATTACTACTCAAGGCAGGATAATTACCTCAGATAGCTCTTTAAGACAACTATGACAGATTAGAATATCAGTTACCAGATATTCTATCTTATGTTACCTAAGTTTTCACAATTATTAGTACTCTAGCCACAACAGATATGGCTACTCTAAGCACAATAGATGTTGCAGATTTGATTAGGGATGCATCCATTACAAGCTGTGGATACTTATTTTTCAGCAGAATATGTACTACTGTTCTTTAAGTTATAGTTATTCCTGTAGCCCATCAATTGAACTACAGATAATTTATATGTAATTGCTATAGATGTCACAGGTTATCTTGGTGTCTAGATAACACCATGTTAGGCCCTGTAAATACTATTTTTTTAGATGTAGTTATTGAAATGGCCCAACTTGTTTCTTGGGTTATAGGACATAATACCCATAACTGAGAGCACTGGCAATACTCCTGGCATTCCAATGACCTCCATAATAATAGGTATTTAATTTGTAATGCTAAAAATCGCACCTTATTTTCCTGTGGACTTTTCCAAATACCATGGCTACCAATATAGTCATTTGCTATTTCACATACTAAAAGTATTATTGCTCCTGAAGAGATCCTAGCTTTAGCTACAGATATAGATTTTGCTACCATTGGAGATATTGTATATAGCTTGACTTCAGGCACTGAAATAATTAAATTAGAAATATTACATGTTAGTTTTACTATCATAGAGAATAAAAATATGATTATAGGTGTTAAAAGCATAAGTTCCAAAACTTTACAACCATATCATTTCCATAGATACTACCAATACTCTTACCACAGATTTGTTAAGTACTTCTATTTACTTCCAGAAAATTAGAATTAATCTTAATTATGAGATAGTCTTAGGCCCTTGCTGTTACCACCAATGATTGGTTCTGACTCTAGTATAAACCAGAAATTATCCAGACAGAGATGAGAATGTAAAGATAGCATCGGAGAGATGGTCTCTGCCTTAGAATCAGAGTTTATAATCTTGTTTGCTTTTTCTTTTTATCTACCAGCTTTTCCCATATTATTTCACTGTCCAGACTCTCCTTTGGTGTGTTACAGCTTTCAGCATGTTCTTGGTCTTTCATATCCAAATTCACCATCTATTCTTAACCTATTACTTCCTTAGATCATCCAGCCCTCCATGAGTAGACTCATGGTCATTACCAAATCTATCCAGTTGGGTGCTATTGAAGGCTTAACCTGAGAACAGTATTCTCAAAGTTTAGTTTAGGGATCCATGGGGTGGATCTTTTTGGGGCACACAGTTCATATCTGTTTTCATTATAATACTAACTTGTTATTGATTTTTTAACTCCCATGCATCTCAGACAGTGGCATTTTCTGGAGACTCTATGCTGTGTGGTATCACAATAGATGAATATAGAAACTGATGTAAGAATCTAGCTGTCTTCTATTAATTCAGACATTAAAGAGATTTATAA